TATTCACCCAACTTCACAAATTGATGCCTCTGTGTCAAATAACTTCTAATCCATTTCAGAACCATTCCTCTGATCCCATATTTTTCTAACTTATCCATTAATAACTCATGATTGATTGTGTCAAATGCCTTTTTTAGGTCAATAAATATTCCCATCGTGTATTTCTTCTCATCCATAGCACTAGTTATGTCCTCCATCAGGTCTGAGTATCACTGAAGTATGGTCTCAGCACTGAAGAGCCAAGACATTTTACCCAGCAGTACACAGTAGATGCACTCATTCACAACCTAACTGACTGAACACTAGTGGTGGTGTTACCAGTATCAGTGGGCAGTTGTCTGGGTTTGTCAGGAGCTCTGTTCACACTGTCTCTGTACTTGAGAGTTGCAGCGGCTGTAGGAGGAGAAGAGGAGAAAGTCATTCATGTTTTCCATTCAGAGTTCATTTTAAGGTTCGTTGGTCAGAATATGCTGGAGAGGTGCAGGACAGTCTGCCTCTGATAACAGTACCGTGTCCCTCGTCTGGCTCTGAGGTACTGGTGGTGGTGATGTCACTCAGGCCTGACTCATCAGAAGCCTCAGCCTCTGATGAAGTTTCGCACAAGATCACCTCACTGGCGTCGAAATACTCCGCCATAGATTCTGCTACTGAGGGTGCACGATAACATGGATGACGACCCATGGATGGCGTGTTCTGTGAGGAAAAGTGGAGGAGAAGGGGGGTGGGGGCGCAAAGAGGAGACTAGATCTTTATCTTTCAAGTGAAAAAAAATTTTTCTGCATAATGTACACACACGGTCAGATGTAGGGATGGGTTCAGATAGCTGGTTCAATTTTGGATCTGACTCCATGTTGGCAAAATATTCAAATTCATTAAGCTTCATATCCAAACAAATCCCTTACTGTCACACATTCTCCATTTAGTTTACACTCTTTGGCCTCTCTGACAGTAAAGACATCAAAATTAGGGGGAAAAAATGATGTGCACAAACTCAGGAATGGTTTGTAAATAAAGGTTATGCTTTTCATGTTAGTAAAATTTGAAATGAAAATGCTATTGTAAACAAAAATGTGGGACTGGCTTATCTGCTTCAAAGTTAACACAACAGGCATGAGGTTCATTCCTCACTGGTGCTACCCATGAAATGTTACACATACACACTGTTCTATCAGGCTCTGACATGGAACTGGTCAAA